GGGAAAGAGGATTGGAGTGGTCCTTGGGAAAGATGTGGGGCTAATTCATAGCAAAAAGATCAGGCCTCGTTGCTTCAGCTCGTGTAGAAGAAGTTGGTTTGATCTTGGTTTCATTGCAGGCAGAGCTGTCACACTCAAATTGCTGGTGAACTGGATGTGGCCTGTGGCGCTTCTCGCCATGGCGCTGTGTTGGCAACTACGTGGGTGCTGGCAGCCGTGGCTAGAAACCCCACAGACCAAACTATCGACCTCTGTGGGTTGGATCCAACCCACAGGTTTGGTAAAACTCTGTCCCTGGCGATGCCCCTGTGTGCAGTGATGTCGGGCACTGGGAGCGTGAGTTCACTGCCAAAGTGATGCATCATGGAGCACCCCTAAATACCTCTTCTGCTACCAGTGGCTAATTAGGGAATTTTCCTGTCTTTTTTACATCAGATAACTAATGTATAGTGGAAACTAGAACCAGAGCAGTGCAGATGTCTTTAAAGATTTAATTTTATCTCGTTTATGCTGAAGCTCAGGGAAATAATTGGTGGTAAATGTTCCTGTCTAAATATTCAGTCACTCGTTTGGCTGAAAGCAGGCCCTGGAGCTTTTTCTTGTGTAATACTCAGGGAATGTTTGTGATTTTAGAAAAACTCCTGTGTGTTGCCGGAGGATTTAAAGAATTTCTACCTGATGACCGACGGCTTCCACATGACATGGAGCGTGAAGATAGATGGTAAGTCTGGTTGTGTCCTCCCTGCTAATATATTCCCTTCAGTGCATTCTGTCTTTCCCTGATACTATTTCCTTTTCACTTAGATTCCCCCCTCTTTCTGTGTGTTCATTGTGTCAGTGGAAGTATTTTCCTTTTTTAATTTGATCCCAGCTTATCAAAGTCTTACATCTAACTTAACCAGAACCACAGAGCCTGTCGTTCTTAATAATAAATACCACTGCTTCTGCCTTTCGTCTTAATGGCTTTCGCCAGCTGTTTCTGGGTAATTGAATCACTGGCTGTAGAAAATTGTAATGAAAATTTCCCTTGATAAATCCTGAATTCTGCACAAAATTTGGAGTCAGTATGAGGAGAGCCTTGATAATAACAGCTGAACGCAAGTGCAAGTTCTGTTCATGATACAGAAGGTGGCAAATCATCTTAGTGGTCGCATCCAGAGAGTGGTAGCAGGCAGGTCGGTATCGACCTGGAAGGATGTGGGTAGCGTGGTCCCGCAGGGCTCGGTCCTTGGACCTGTGCTCTTCAATATCTTCATCAGTGACTTGGATGTGGGGGTAAAGTGTACTCTGTCCAAGTTTGCGGACAATACTAAATTGTGGGGTGAAGCGCACGCTCCGGAGGGTAGGGAACGATTGCAGGCAGACCCGGACAGGTTAGAAAAGTGGGCAGTACACTATAGGGTGCAGTACAACAAGGACAAGTGCAGAGTGCTGCACCTAGGGCGCAAAAATATCCAGCACAACTCCTGGCTGGAAAGTCACCCTCCCAGCAGCACAGAAGTGGAAAGGGATCTCGGAGTCATAGTGGACTCGAAGATGAACATGAGTCATTAGTATGACAAAATCATCAGCAAAGCTAACCGCACTTTATCATGCATCACAGATGCAAGATGAATAGATCCAAGGAGGTGATACTTCCCCTCCGTGCGGCATTGGCCAGACCGCAGTTGGAGAACTGTGTCCAGTTTTGGGCGCCGTACTTCAGGAAGGACGTTGATAGACTTGAGAGGGTCCAGAGGAGGGCCAGTCATATGGTTAGGGACTTACAGGACAAGCCCTACGAGGAGAGACTGAGGGACCTGGACCTCTTCAGCCTCCGCAAGAGAAGGCTGAGAGGGGATCTTGTGGCCAGCTACAAATTAATCGGGGGACACAGCAAGGGATCGGCGATGCTCTGTTCACCAGCGTGCCTCTTGGGGTAACAAGGAACAATGGTAACAAGCTGACAGAGAGCAGATTTAGGCTAGACATCAGGAAAAACTTCTTCACAGTAAGGGTGGCCAAAATTCGGAATGGGCTTTCAAGGGAGGTGGTGCTCTCCCCTACCTTGGGGGTCTTTAGGAGAAGGCTGGATAGGCATCTGGCTGGGGCCATCTGACCCCAGCGCTCTTTCCTGCCCAGGCAGGGGGTCAGACTCTGATCTGCTGAGGTCCCTTCCAGCCCCAGCATCTATGAATCTATAAGGCTGAAGCCTGAAGTCTGTCCGTATGTAGGACTCCACCTGGAAACTTTCTGTGCCGAGCATTTGTTAGGATCCAGTCTGTGGTTCTTAGGTTTTATTTTGTTTGACATTAATGCCAATATGTACTGTGCTAGCCCAGTTATGACCCTGATGATCACATAAATGAATGCATAAGTCACAGATTTCACACGGCAGTAGAAACCTGGCTGATTTAAAGTATTCAAAAAGCAATGCATACTTTGAACAAGGCCTCACCACCACTTCTTGGGGTTTCATGAATAAATCTCTGACTTGAGAATAAAGCAACCTGGGAGTTTCTGACTGCCATGGATGCTTTTGAAAAAAAATCACCTGATTTCTTTTGGCTTGCACTCAGCATCCATGAAAAAAAGATAGTTGCGCTTCCCTTCCTCATCCGACTGTCATGTGGCTCCATCCACTCTATTTTATGCAATGCCAGCAATGAGCACCACAGAAAAGCCTGCACATGAATACACATCCTGTTTTGCCTCTCCTGCCTCCCTGAAAAGTTATGATGAGAGAGTGTCTTAGTTCAAGTAATGTGACTGCTTTCATCTCCGAGCTAGAAGAAGGTCACAAGTTCAACAAAGTCCTCCCAAATAGCTTCTCGGGAGGCCCACAACGTTAGTCTGCTCTTCAGCTCACATGTAACCTCTGGTTTTCAGTTGGCCTCATGCATTTTATGCCATTTTTAGTCACGTCTGACTTGATGGGAGTAGACAACAATTGAACAACTTTGCAAAGGTCATACGACGGGTGTTAACTGAGCCCCAGATACCATGGTGGTGGTCTAACTGAGAACAGCATTGGAATGAAGGTCCTGATCTACAATTGTTGAAGTAGTAGGAGTTTTACATTATACTGTGATACAAACAGTCGCAGCCCCTGGCATTGATTCACACCTCACTCCAGCGTAACTCCACTGGCTTCAGTGGAATTACTCCAGCGATGGCGGGATTGGGCCCTCTCTCCTCCGTCTCTGCCTGGCAAGAAAAGAACAGCTCTTTTACTCTGAAGCAAGGACCTTGCCCAAATTACACAGGTGCTTGCCGTTTCCACCGGTAAGTGTGGGGTGCACTTTTCCCCTTGTGGACTTTCATGTCAGGAGCAACACCAGTGCTCCAGCTTTGGCTGCCCACTGATCTCCAAGTGGAGCCAAATGCTAGGACCTGCAGAGCCCCATAATGCTCTGAGACCTTGTTAGTGGACTCACACCTCCCCTGCCCTCCTCTGGGACCTGCATAACTCAGTCTGTAGATGACTGGCTATGGTCTGGAAGGACTGGCTTTGATCCCAGGTGAGGGTGGTGGTTTTCTACTCATTGCTTCCACTTTCAGCATAGCCCTGAGGCCCTCCCAGCTTCCTATCCAATGGGTCCCCACAGCTACCTGGGGGTAAAGGCAGCTGGAGCATGGTGCCGACCACATCACCGTGTATGGAGGTTAAAGAAGCAATGAAGCACTGCCTCAACAGCTTGTAAAGGGCACACCTTTACCTTTACTGCCCTACTCTGCACTGTTGCATTCAAATGAGAAACCTGATTTGGAGATTCCTCCGTACAAAAGAAAGGTAGCTTCTGGCATGATGGTATCAGATGAATACCAGAGCCTGGAGTAATTACACTCCCAGGCCTGCTTCAAGATTCAGCTCTTCTGCCATGAGTGGAGGATTGGTCCAAAAGAAAAGATCTCCTCCACATCTCTTGCTGCTAGAACATATTGATTATCAGTCTCACAACTCTGCATTACAGATACCCCCATGCCTCTGGGCTCCATGATGATTAACAGCATCTCCAAACTAAGCCGACTGGGCAGCTCATCGCTGTATGCTTTGCCCAATGCTCCAACGCTTGCTGACTTGGAAGATGATACCGATGAGGAAGGTACTGTCTTTGGGGCTGCGGCTGGGGTGGGAAACGCAGCTGTTAGAACATGCTTTACATGATGGGTTAGGATAAACTGCCTTTCTGGAGAATACGCTTAGTTGCACTTTGACAGTAGGGACAGAGAGGTCACAGGTCACTCTTAAGAAGACCCACTGCTTGCTGTCCTGAGACCGGATGGAAACAGTCCTAGATCCTCGTAGGAATCTGAACTTGTGGTAGAGGTGATATCTTTTATTAGACCAACTAGATTTTTGCAAACAAATTTGCAAAAAAACAAAAATATCTAGCTGGTCTAATAAAAGATACCACCTCTGCCACGAGTTCTGATTCCTTTTGCCTCTAGACTAATACGGCTACACCCTGGATACCTGACTAGATCCTCAGAGGAATTTAGCTGCCTAGCTCTCATACAAATCTATAGGAATGAAGCATATAAATATCTCTGTGAATCTGGGCCTACATGCTTCAGGTCCCACAGAAAATGACCAACTCCACCTCCTCATACTCTTCCCCATTCGAATTGCCCCATGTGTTTTGTTTCTTGCTTCTTAAATATTTACCTGGGGACTCCTCGATTGATTCACCATGGCAGGAGCATTGCTACAATGCTATGTAAAATATCAGTAGCAATAATCTTCATCTGGGAAGTGGGGTGGCTCAATGGATAGGTTGACTTTGAAGGCAGTTCTTCAGAGTTTGAAGTTTCAGTGGAAACACATACCCGAACACGGGACAGCAAGGGGAAATGTTTTCTGTTTAGATCACAAACAAATGTAAGACGTTTTGCAGACAAATGTAAATCGATCTGCCCCTTCTCTCAAGGAGCTTGCAATTTAACAAGGCAGCAATGAGGGAGAACCAAGCATCATACTGATTCTTGTGAAAAACCAAAGAATAAGCCTGCGCATTCCAATTTGATTTGAGAATTGCTTTTTCTAGATCTGGCTGGTTTCTCTCTGTGTAGAGGAGTGCTTTCCTTCAGCACATGACAGTCCAGCCATAATCCTGATCCCCTGCCTTATCGAATGGGTCAGATTCTGCTCTCATTAAACCACGTACTCCTCCATGCATGTCACTAGGTTTGCTTTGCATGTGCAAGCATTGGTTATATCACAATATGGGCTCTTCTGTGAGACACTACTTTGTAAGAAGCACCACAAATTCAGACTCTTTTTTTTTCCCCCCTAGAAAGTCTCAAACCCTTCCTTTTCTGTGGCAGATTCTGTTAAATTGTACCTGGCTTCTTTTACTGCAGAACAAAATTTTTACTTTTACTCAAATCAGTTTGTCCTTTTTAAATAGTACATTTATACTGACTAATCCTAATGTATTTAGGAGATTGAGTCAGAAAAGTGACTGTTGCTTTTTTTCAGGATCTCAGGTTTTATTGTCATGAAACACTTTCTGTGTAAATGATTTTCGCACCATTGTTCCCAGTCTTAAGTCAGTGATGAATAATTCTAGTGCAGGTTATAAAATGGTTATTTCAAAATTATGCAGCTGTGCTATTACCTCCACAAAAGCCAGCTTTCCTAAAATGCTTTAAAATCCCTCTAAATCACTGTTAAATCTTCAAAATATAAACAACAACTAAAATCTGGCTCCTGAAAAGGGGCATCTGCATTTGTGAGAGCAGCCAGCTTGAGGGGCAGCTAAGTGCTATGAATTGCAAGTGCATTTACAAGCAAGTGTAAAATTGCTTCTCTAAGAGGTTTTGCTGGGTGTTTATGTACAAGTAGAACCAGAGCAAAGTGTCATAGAAGTACAGAAAGTATAACTCAAGCTGCCGGGTTTTTTTTATTCCACCATTTATTCTCTCTCTGTCTATATTTCAATTTATAATGAAGATATTATGGCTTATTTCTCATAATAATCCCCAAGTATCAATATTTACCAATTAAAAGTGAATCCTTCACTGCAAGTTAATGACATCTTTTCAAAACATGCCTCTAAAGTTGCACCCTTAACTTATTTTTGTGTGCATAGATTTATGCACACAACAGATGTATCTGCAAAAGTAATATGGATCATTTGGGTAGGAACTGCTGTATCTGAATTGCATTCTTTACACGAAATAGAGGGTGTGTGACACACAACCGGACATAGACGTGAAATAGGCATCACAGCAGCAGGTTCTTTGCAAATCTGCCCCTATGTACGTAGCAGATCCGGTCAGAATTGCTTTAGAGTGATTGTTGTTTCTCTTTGAAGGTAATGAAGACAAGCTGGAGAAGCCTCACTTTGACTCTCGTAGCCTGATCTTTGAATTAGACCCATGCAATGGGAATGGGAAAGTTTGCCTTGTGTATAAGAATACCAAGCCAGGTAAATATCAAAAAGAGCAGAGTTAACCAGCCACAATGGATGGTTGTGCCTGGGCGGTGGATATATCACTTTGTGCAATATTGCTTAGCAGTGTCTGCATGGACATTTAAGGTGAATTCCTGGCTCCATTGAACTCAATGGCAAAACTTGCCCTGAATTTATTGGAGCCAAGATTTCTCCCTTGCTGAAGAACGTAGGAGTCTTGTAACTGCATGTGATTTCTGCATGCTTCTTGGACACGGAGATGGGAAAGAACGTACATGAGGTCTACCAAGCCTTAGAGATGGGAGTAGTCCAAACAGCTTCACTAGCACTACCCCCACGTCTAAAGGGAATCACGTGCGAGTGTGTATGGGCTTGTAGACTTGGGCCACACTATTTACATTCTTCCTGAAGGTGTGTGTAACACTGTACACTGGGGAGGGGAGAACAAAGAAAATGTGAATCTGCTAAGCTGGTTTCAAACCGGTTCTGCAATTTCTCCAGTTGCTAATTGAAAACCAATTTAGCAAGGGGCCTCTGAATGGGAACTGCAGAGGAACATGCCACAAAGAAAGAGAGGTGTGAGCTGGGTAGCAAAGAACGCATGGAAAACTGTGCGTGCTCTTTGCACCAGGGACGCGTAAAGTACGTAGCCCGCTTAGGGATTAGTCACCAGCTGATACGTGTCTTTTTAACTTCCATTTCTCTCTCCTATGCATACTCAAGCACATCTGTGTGAGTGAGTGTGTGCACATACACACATATATTAACATTCCCATTCCTAGTTCGTCAATGCTTGAACCCTGTGGGGACAGAAGATTTATAATCCTGATACTTTAAATTCTCTGGGGCCTTTCACCCACAGCTCTCCAAGCATGTCACCAGCACTGCATCTCAAAGCCATACTGGGAAGCGATAAGTAGCATCAGTCCCCTCTTATAGATGGGGAAGCAGGCACAGGGGCTGAGTATGAGATGAGGATGCGTGAAACCAATAAATCCAGGTTTTCCAGGTGTGATTTAACCACTTACTTGTGCTACCCCTGGATAGCAGGATGCACTGTCCATGGGTGCTGCTTTGGAAGACCTGTGCATTTAGCCTCTCAATGCTGTGTCACTTGGGCAGTCTCAGTCAGGATCTCATCCCTTAACTGCAAAGCAGTGCTATGATTTCTGTGATCTTCCTCTATTTTCATTCCAGTTGTCACCCCAGACACAGAGATATGGTTTCTGGACAGAGCGCTGTACTGGCACTTCCTCACCAAGACCTTCACTGCCTACTACCGACTACTGATCACCCACCTGGGTCTCCCCCAGTGGCAGTACGCCTTTACAAGCTACGGTGTCAGCCCCCAGGCCAAGGTGAGCGAGCAGGAGCCTCCTTGGTTTTTAGAGGGCTGAACAAAATTCATTTTCCTCCCCCACTTTCTTGGGGGTGGTTCGTAAACTGGAGAGGGCACCTTCCTCCACAGCAAGGCACTATCAGCAGGCCAGCAAGCTGATCCTCTCCGCCACATCAGTCCAGTGGGCCAGGGAGTGTATGTTAGAAAAGCAGAGCTAGATCTCAGCTTAGTCTCATCCAGTCCAGAGGCAGCTAGCAGTGAGAGCATGGCTCCTACTGCTTATTGAATCCCTTCCCCTTCTGTACCTATGCAAGGAGTAGGAAAGTACAGAGTCCTCCATTCTCCTCCTAGCAGCCAGGTAAGATTTGTCTAGAGCCAGGCTCTGAGCATGGGTGCAAAGTGAGGGCTGAGCACCTGGCACTACCTTCTCCTTCCCACCCCCAGCACAAGCCAGTGCTAGGGGAGGGGAGGTAAAGGCCTGAGCAAATGGACCTGGAAACCCAACTACACACTGGACATGACACAAGCAGGGAAGTGAGCTGATCCTCATAAAGGGCTGTAGTAGGGTGCAGCCAAAGCCATTTAAGAAACTCACTGCTAAGGTAGGTGGCCATTTAATTCACACAGATCATGCAGGCCTTTCACCTTCTCTCATTGATTCTAGCGTCAAGGCTTAAGCTGCATTCATCTTTCTTGCTTATCTGTGTGTCTCCTCGTCTTGTGTCTCATGAGGGTGGCATTCCCAGTGCGCCCTGCCCCTACAAACTGAAACTGCTGCTAGAAGGATGCAATCTGCACGCTGTGCCTCTAGGCCAGGGGTGAGCAAAATACAGCCCCGGATCCAGTCCATCAACTGATTTATATCTGGCCCACAGGTGCGTGACCACAAATTCATGGGATCTGGCTTGCTGGCAGCGGATGCCCCAATCCCCACCCAGAACCCGTGCAGTTGCCATAGCTTCTTGCTTTATCACAGACGTGACAGACAGACATGCTGTCAGTAGAGTGATATTTCCTGGGTTCCAGGCTCCATTCTGCAGCCTGTGCCTATGAAACTGCAGTCAACGATGGCTTAAAACCTAGCAAGTGCTTCATTGAGGCCCTCTGCATTTCTGATTTCTTCCATAGCCTACTGCAAGCTAAATATATCTACCACAGTAGAAGCTGTGTACACTGCATCCCATAGACAGCTTTTCCCAGCAACATAGTCCGTGTACCGTGTACTCCACTTATATGGATATAGGTAAGTGCATAATTTGCTTACCTGCGTAACATCACAACAGTCAAAATGTTTTGCCCATTGCTTTCCTTGGTTATCTGCGTGTCAGCAATGTGCATGAGACACCTAGGTGCACAAGAAATCTTCAGCCCCACCATCTGTTTTGTAATGTAATTGCACTCCACCTAACTGCATAACTGGTGAAACTGCCAGGACCTGGTCAGGTCAGGGATGCTTTAGGAGCTTTGAAATTGGCAGCTTCTAAACCGTTTCCAAGCTGCTATAGCAGGTATAGGTCTCTGGCCCCTAGCAGACATTGCATTTGTCCTGCACCATATGCAACAAGACAAATTGTAACATGTCAACCGCACACACGTTAAAACTACTGCAGGATAGATCTGCACCACAAAGAAAGGGCTGTTTCAACAAGCCACTTATCTGTGGCTGATTCACCGTTTTTTGTCCAGGAATATACTGGTTTAAAGTCTGGCATGTTACAAATTGTCATGCCCAGGGCTCCTGAGAAATGAGGTCACAAGCTGAATAAGGCATTTTTCAACTCCATGGCTATATTTCCTGATTTTAAAAACCCACCAACTCACTCCAAACCAAGCTGTTCCTTCAAATATTGCAATTAGAGGACAGCCCTTAGAAAACGTCAAGCATTTCCCTTACCCATAGTCACCTCTCCCCAAAAGTAAATGTAGATGATGGTAGTCAACACCAGATAAAATCTGTCAGTGCTGCCTTTGGACATCTCCAACACCGTGTCTTCGATGAACACAAACCAGGTTTCTCATCTACCAGGCTGTTGTCATCCCTATCCTGTTGCACGGGTGTGAAACTTGGATGACATACCAGAAACGCCTGAAAGCTTTGGAACGATCAGTGATGTCCTTGGCAAATTGTCCATATCAAATGGAAGGACAGAAGAACAAGTGTCAGCTTTCTGGCTCAAGCAAACAACACCAGCATTGAAGCCAGATTTATACAGCACCAGCTCCATTGGACAGGACACGTCATGAAGGTGCCTGACAACTGGCTGCCATAACAGTTCCTATACTCCCAATTCACCACTGGTCACTGCTCTAGAGGAGGGGAAAGGAAGCGATTCAAAGACCAGTCTTAAGAAATGCGACATTAATATCAATACCTGGGAGACTCACACATCCGTGCATGAGAGAAGCAGCCCCAATGACACTGTGAAGCACAACAAGGCAGCGCTCATTTTGAGCAGACTCGCCTTGCTATGGAGGCAGATGGACGAGACAGCTATGGGGGAAGAGCTGTGACCCAACGTCACCAGGATCTGCTCCTTCCTCCTGAACCTGTTTGTCAAACATGTAGATCTTGATGTGAGGTCAAACATGTAGACCTCAGAGTAGCCTCCCCAGTCATCTCGGGCCTCACTCATGACTTCCCTAGTTACTGAAGACTGTCATCCTTGTATCGAGAGATTGCCAGTGATTCCTTGATACTTGAGTGACATGATGGTGAGTGCAGTCCCCAGATGCTCCGGTTCTTCATTTAGGTGACATCCCCCTCATTTGCTAGCCTTTGGCCACTCCAGTTACCTAGGGTGAGACCCAGAAAGGCTCCTTAGGTGCCTCCACTTAGATGACACATGACCTCAATATTAGGCACCTGAAAAGTGAGATTCAGAGAAGCAGGGTCAATGGCCTCTACTCCTTGCATGTTCAGTGCTGTATTGCTCCAGGCTATTAGCATGCACTAGGCATGGTCTGAGCATGCCTCATACCCTCCCACCACTTAGACCTTGCCTTGCGTCTGCATCTCCATAGAGCTTCAGTGAGGAGTTGTTCTGATTGAGGCACTGCCATCACACATGGGGGCCCACGTGTAGGCACCTTGGGGACTTTGCAGGCCAAAACAAGGTACCAAAGGAATGGAGGCAGCCTTCGCACATAGCCAGACACCAAGCAGGGGGGCGGGCTGGAGCACTTCTGTGGGCTTGGTCACCTAGAGTCCACCTTTGTACCATTTTAGAAGCCTCTCTTGAGCCCACCATAGTCCTCACTGGCATTAACCTTTTGAAAGGCCTCGCCGGAAGGTGAGACTATTTCCAATCTATCTTCAACCCTATACGTTTATGTACTGGCCTATTTACCTTGGTCAGCATTTTGCTTTGCTTCCAGAGCAGGCTGTCTCATCAGGCACCCTGCCACATCGACCCCTACGCTATCTGCCTCTGTCAGTCAGGTGGCTGTAACAGGGAAAGCAGGAGGCAGCATGAATGTGAATTTAGCAGATTAAAACCTCTTGGTGGCACCTGAGAACCAGATAATGGTTACAGTGACGTCTGGGCAGGAAATCAGTCTGCTGAGAAGTGAGCCCAGACGTTTTCTGGCACACAGATTGAAATACGGCACTGCTGGAAGATGAGGGAGGGGGCTTGTGTTGTTTGAGAGGCTCGGAAATTCCTGACTGGTTTTTTTTAAGCAATTTTAAATGCCAAGGTTTAATCCCCTTCGTGCTTCTCTGAATCCAAGTGAGTTCAGCTTTGTTCCCCCTCTCCCTTACGTGTAACAGGGTGATGTCTGTGATAGTGTTCCCCTATAAAGAACTAGTGTCAAGTGAGAGGAAATTGGTCCTCTGACTCTCATGTCCCCTGTCCTCTAGGGAAGTGTGCATCAAGCACCTCTGTCATAAAACACTTGACACACAGAGCAATACACGTTCTTGGTGACAGGTTTCTGGGTGGGTTTCTAGGACATCCCTACA